TTACAATTTGCAAAATAGGCTAAAAATAACTTATGACAGGCATTTTAAAAGACTATATACAATTCTATGTGTGCACAACATTTGAACAGTACAGATGATAGCTAATACCATGATAAAACTTAAACAACAACACTAAACGAACTGCAATGGCACTACACGGAACTGGGTCCCAACATTAGCTCTCCGTCCAGCACAAAAACATCCAACCAACCCTAATCCAACAGTCACAAAACCACAAACAAACATCCCCGATAACCCACCGGATACCAGAGGCACTTCCACAGACACAAAACACCCAAAATCCAACCACACTCAGACAACTGCACCCTGCCAACCACAGCACACGCTAACAGGCCACATCCAGAAGACTGATCGACAGTGTCACAGCGCCCCCAGTGTTTTCAATGCCAAAATACCAAATATGGAAACAATATCACATGACATCATTTAACAGATAAAACAAGGGTCGTCGCATTGGCTCCAACTAAAATCAGCTTGGCAATATATTTTTCATAAAAAATTTTCCCTACTGTTCACTCCAATTTATAAAATCGATCAATTCGGCAGTGGCAGTCAGTCAGTAGTTTATTTTATCACATACCAAAAGTACACAATAGACAAAAATAACTACGAATCACATATAAAACAATACTTTCAGTGTGAAGGGAGGCGCGATAAACCAGAAGAGGTTATCGAGCAGCGTCACCCTGGCAAAAATTATAAATTTATCAATAGGGTGCCAAGTAATTTTTATTTTTTACTACCTGTATGTAATTTATCGTGTCTTCTTACTTTATAACTTCTGTGTGGGTGCGTGTGTGAAATATTTCAACTATTTTAGGTGAGTGAACACGCACCGCTTCTTCTTGGCAAAAACTTCCATCTCATATACATTCTGTACGTTTTAAACCTTATCTAAGGTTTTGTTTGCTCTCCTGATTTCATAATCAGTATTTATTTATTTTTACCAATCATTTTATTGTTTTGCTGATTATGTAGTCGAAATAAACCTATACTTATATATCTTTGATATGACATTCGGTACAATTCTTCAAACGTTCGGGTGAAATTTTTCTGGCAAAGGCGGGAAATCCTTGCAATTTGTATTACAGCATTCTGGATCTGGCACTGGGGAAAGTAGCGAACGCAGTTTTTCATTCAGTCATTGCATGTGCTATATCTGTATATCGTTACGTACCGGTAACGTATCTTTCAACCGGGGCCTTACTACTGTACCTGCGTAATGTACCGGTACCGCCAAACACAGCAAACTGCACGAAGCAGAAGAATACGGTACGTTCCTGGCCCCTGCAGCCCTGGGAACAGTGCAAAGGCGAGTCAGCGAGTGGAAGTGGTGACACTTCTACGGCCCATGGGCCGGGGCCACGGCCCATCAAGTTGTGTAAAGGGACAAAATAATAAAGACTAATAAATATGGGGTCTGGTATGGGTCTTACTACTTACTGAATAATTTATAAAATCGATCAATTCGGCAGTGGCAGTCAGTCAGTAGTTTATTTTATCACATACCAAAAGTACACAATAGACAAAAATAACTACGAATCACATATAAAACAATACTTTCAGTGTGAAGGGAGGCGCGATAAACCAGAAGAGGTTATCGAGCAGCGTCACCCTGGCAAAAATTATAAATTTATCAATAGGGTGCCAAGTAATTTTTATTTTTTACTACCTGTATGTAATTTATCGTGTCTTCTTACTTTATAACTTCTGTGTGGGTGCGTGTGTGAAATATTTCAACTATTTTAGGTGAGTGAACACGCACCGCTTCTTCTTGGCAAAAACTTCCATCTCATATACATTCTGTACGTTTTAAACCTTATCTAAGGTTTTGTTTGCTCTCCTGATTTCATAATCAGTATTTATTTATTTTTACCAATCATTTTATTGTTTTGCTGATTATGTAGTCGAAATAAACCTATACTTATATATCTTTGATATGACATTCGGTACAATTCTTCAAACGTTCGGGTGAAATTTTTCTGGCAAAGGCGGGAAATCCTTGCAATTTGTATTACAGCATTCTGGATCTGGCACTGGGGAAAGTAGCGAACGCAGTTTTTCATTCAGTCATTGCATGTGCTATATCTGTATATCGTTACGTACCGGTAACGTATCTTTCAACCGGGGCCTTACTACTGTACCTGCGTAATGTACCGGTACCGCCAAACACAGCAAACTGCACGAAGCAGAAGAATACGGTACGTTCCTGGCCCCTGGGAACAGTGCAAAGGCGAGTCAGCGAGTGGAAGTGGTGACACTTCTACGGCCCATGGGCCGGGGCCACGGCCCATCAAGTTGTGTAAAGGGACAAAATAATAAAGACTAATAAATATGGGGTCTGGTATGGGTCTTACTACTTACTGAATACAGCGCGAAACACCGCAAAGAGCGCAAAACAGCGCGAAACAGCGCAAAAGAGCGCGAAACAGCGCAAAATAGCGCAAAAGAGAGGAAAACAGCGCGAAACAGAAGGAAACCAGCGCAAAACAGAGGGTAACAGCGCAAAACAGGAGACGCAGTCATTACCACCTCCTGCCACGAAAGAACCACGGCGCCTCTCGCCATGGTTTTATGGCGCTATTTCCGGCATATTTACAAGGTTATGTACCGGATTATAGGTCATCATGCGAAATTTTATCTACCTTTTTGGTGCTCCAGAAGTATGTGCAGCAATATGTCGCACAACCTGAATCCGCTACACACACACACACTATTTTCAGGTTGTGCGCCATCTTGGTGCACATACTTCTGGAGGTCCCTTTTTACCTAACCCTAACCCTAAAGCCAACCATATCCATATGAAAAATGTTCTAAATTATGGTACCCTAAATGTGTCACCAGCAGGGGCAGACCTGCCATTACAGCATTACTGGCTACATACGTTGGTTTGTGTTTTTAATTTGCTGCCGTGGTACTCCAACTCAAAACAAGGTGTCCCGAACTCATTGCAAAACTTTTTTCTGCTTCACACTGTTTCCCTCTGTTTTGCGCTCTTTCGCGCTGTTTTGCGCTGTTTCCACACTGTTTTGCGCTGTTTCCCTCTGTTTTGCGCTGTTTTACGCTGTTTCGCGCTGTTTTGCGCTGTTTCGCGCTGTTTTGCGCTCTTTGCGGTGTTTCGCGCTGTATTCAGTAAGTAGTAAGACCGGGTCTGGTATAGTTTAGTATCACATGTACTTCTAGTTGACCTGGCTGAACAATTTTTGCATATGTCAATCCTAACCCCCACCTGACTACGTCACCGAAAAATTACATCATTTCGACGTCACAGTGGCGTAATAAGGCCCACCGAAGTATGCGGATGCTCGTCCAAAACGCACAGACGATCACCCAAAATCGAGCAAGCAATTTCTCTCGTTTTCTCGTCACAACGATCACTATAGGAGAGAGATCGCCGGCTTTAGCAAGTTCGTTATCAGCGGCGCAGATGTCATTTCGGCCTTTCGGGCGATCGTAATTATACTTTGGCAATCCCCATGACGTGATGGTGACGTCGTAGTGACGTAATTTTTGGATGGCATAGTCAGGTGGGGGTTAGGAATAGCATATGCAAAATTCGTTATGCTACGCCCACCGGAAGTACTTGTCGTACTAAACTATACTAGACCCTAAATATGTAAATCCTACCCACTCCCCGAACTTATAATAGAACTATATTGTGAAAAATCTGAACAAAATTTTGACCTAACCCTAACCTGGTACACATACTTCAGGTGTATCCTTTTCTGTAGCTTGGTATTTTGCTTTATTTTTATGTAAAGGCTTATCGTAAGAAAAAGGTTTGGTGGCATCCCACGATTTTTTTCAGTTCGAATATTGACAATTTAATAAAAATTGAAAATTTTGGTTAGATAATGGATTTTTTTCTGATGGGGCGCGGCCCATAGCTTGATGGGCCACGGCCCATGTGGCCCAATTAGATGGGCTGTGGCCCCGGCCCATGGGCCTTAGAAGAGTCACCACCCCTGTAGCGACAGGCAGACAGGAAACAGCACGAAACATACGGTAAAACAGTTAAAAGCTTAATATGTAATGTTTTTCAATTATATACAGATATATGTGTACAGTATGTTAGTACAGTCTGACAGTACTGTAGGGATACGATAAGGGTACTGTAAATACTGGTAGGCTATATGTTTTACGTATATGGATGTAAAGATGTATCATGATTTAATTCCCCTAAATCCAGTACAGCACACTATCCAAATTCCAAGAATTCCCCTCCATTTGGCTCAATAAAACAAACACTCTATGTGTCTCACAAACGTGGGGCGTCTGGGACCACGTCAGATGCTTCATATCGCGCCATGCTTGTCTTAATAATAATCTAAATTAATCGCGGCTGTCACGTCACCAAAATTGCCGTTTTTTGTTAAGAACTCTCAAATGCCACAGTAAAAAAAATTTCCCTTTGGTAAATCGGATTATTTTTTCCCAAGGAATTCAATGATGACGTTATTAGATTGCGCTTTTCTATAGTATTTTGCGCAACTTCATTATACTGTATTATTACCGATATTGAGGAACAACAGTGTCCATCAGTTCATAGAATCAAATCTTGGAATCCTGACTTTATAATCCAACCCAGAGAGTTACTCGATCAAGTAGAATTTTATTTTGATTCCTTCTGTTCTAAAATATTATCAAAGTATTGCCATAATAATATGTAATTAGGGCTGGGCTCGAATATTAAATTATTCGAATGGCATTTTACTATTCGAATATCCAGTACCACGTGACCTGCGCCACTTTGCTTGGACACGGAACTCGCGCCTCTCGAAATCGATCGTGAATCGCGCCAGAATTCACCTACAACGCTCGATTGTTGAAATGTCTTGTCTGAAAGTTACTATGTACTTGAAAATTTCAATAACAAAATCTAAAATTTTGCTCTTTTTCTGTATCGGTGGAGCCTCTCAAACTGTTTTTCAATGTCAGAATGTCTTGTTATAATTATAAATTATGTTATATGCTTGTATTCTCGTGTTAGTCTTCAGCTTTTTAAATATATGTATTTTATGGGTTTAAACTTGCCACTTTGTTTGTGGAATGACTAAATTATTCTAAAGGTAATTTAATTTTTACACAGTTATGGATAAGAGAAAGCCAAACAATGATGGTAGCTCAACCTCCAATGGCAAAAAGATCAAGATGTCAGACATTGCCACACAGAACAACTGGGGAAGACCAACATTACCAACAATAGATCCAAACACTTACAACATACAAATTCAACAATTGGACTTAGATACATATTTGTCCCAAGAGCCTGTGGCGGGTATATATGATATTCCATATGGATGTGCTCCAGTGGTTCGCATGTACGGCATAACTGAAAATGAACACTCTGTATTATGTCATGTACATGGGTTTCTGCCATATTTTTATATTCAAGCCATGAAAGGTTTCAACTCAAATGACTGCGACGAATTCTGTGAATGTCTCAACGATGTTGTTTTACGTGACATGAAAGGAAATAAAGAAGTCAAAGTGGCTGTAGCAAAAGTTGAATACTGCATGAAGCAAAATATGTATGGTTATAACAGCCTGGGAAAAGTCCCATTTCTCAAAGTCACTGTTGCAGTTCCACGACTTGTTGCCACCACACGAAGGATTCTGAGAGAGGGTTTCAAAACTAAAAAATACCCAACTCACAATTATCAATCATTTGAGAGCAATATTGATTTTGAAATTCGTTTTATGGTTGATACAAAAGTGGTTGGTTGCAATTGGGTAGAAATTCCAGCAGGAAAGTATAAGGTGCGATCTGGATCAAACTGTGTTTCACAGGCTCAACTTGAAGTTGATATAAAATGGACAGATCTCATCAGTCATGAACCGGAAGGCGAATGGCAAAAAATTGGGCCATTGAGGGTGCTGAGTTTTGACATTGAATGTGCAGGTAGAAAAGGCATTTTCCCAGAGCCTGAAATTGATCCTGTCATTCAAATTGCTTCAATGGTGAAGCGAGAAGGAGAAAAAGAACCGTTCATTAGAACAATATTCACTTTGAAGAGCTGTGCTTCTATTGTTGGCTCACAGGTTTTTTCCTTTGACTCAGAATCTGAACTGTTACTGGCTTGGGTGAATTTTTTGAAAGAGGTTGATCCCGATATCATCACTGGTTATAACATAGAAAACTTTGATCTTCCATACCTGATCAACCGTTCGCAAGCACTGAAAGTAAAGGAGTTTGCCTATTTTGGACGAATAAAAAATGTTCAATCAAAAGTGAGGGAAACAAGATTCCAGTCAAAGCAAATGGGAAGCAGAGAAACAAAACATGTCAATATTGAAGGCAGAGTGCAGTTTGATGTATTTGTCGCTCTTTTGCGAGAACAAAAGTTGCGTTCTTATAGTTTAAATGCAGTGAGTTTTCATTTTCTTGGTGAACAAAAGGAAGATGTCCACCATTCCATCATAACAGAGTTGCAGGAGGGAAATGAACAAACAAGAAGACGACTAGCTGTATATTGCTTAAAGGATGCTTTACTTCCTTTACGTCTTCTTGATAAACTGATGCTTATAATTAATTATATTGAAATGTCCAGGGTGACTGGGGTGCCAATGACATATTTGCTTACCAGAGGTCAAAGTATCAAGGTTATGTCACAATTGTTGCGAAAGACATCGGTGGAGGATTTGTTAATGCCAGTAATGGAGAGCAGTGGAAGTGACGAGCAGTATACAGGTGCCACTGTTATAGAGCCTGTTAAAGGTTACTATAATATTCCTATAACAACTCTCGATTTCTCCTCGTTGTACCCCTCAATTATGCAGGCTCACAATTTGTGCTACACCACTTTGTTGAAAAACAGTAAGGAAAAGGAGAAATTGCAGCCAGAAGATTACATCACTACTCCTACGGGTGATACATTTGTGAAAGCATCTGTTAGAAAAGGATTGCTCCCAAAAATCTTGGATAGTTTGCTCACAGCCCGTCGTAAAGCTAAGGCTGACATGAAAGTGGAAACAGATCCATTTAAACGAAGTGTGCTGGATGGTCGTCAATTAGCCTTGAAAATTAGCTGTAATTCGGTGTATGGTTTTACAGGTGCTCAGGTTGGAAAGTTGCCATGTTTAGAGATATCAAGCAGTGTCACCGGCTTTGGTCGAATGATGATTGATCAGACAAAACATCATGTTGAGAAGAAATATACAATTGATAATGGTTATTTTGCCAATGCTTCAGTTGTGTATGGAGACACAGATTCAGTAATGATTAAATTTGGGGTAAAAACTGTTGCAGAAAGCATGGAACTGGGCCGTGAAGCTGCTGGATTTGTCTCTGATCAGTTTCCTTACCCAATTAAACTGGAATTTGAAAAGGTGTATTTTCCATATCTATTGATTAACAAAAAAAGATATGCAGGATTGTACTTCTCTACTAGTGCTGAAGTTCATGATAAAATGGATTGCAAAGGTATTGAAACCGTTCGTCGGGATAATGCGCCTCTCACTGCCAATCTGATCAACAGTTGCCTGCAAAAGCTTTTGATAGATAGAGACCCTGATTCTGCAGTTGCATTTGCAAAACAAACCATTTCTGATTTGTTGTGCAATAGAATCGATATTTCTCAGCTAATCATAACAAAAGAGTTGACAAAAACAAAAGAACAATATGCTGCAAAACAGGCTCATGTTGAACTAGCTGAACGAATGCGTAAACGAGATGCTGGCAGTGCACCGCAACTAGGTGATAGAGTTCCTTACGTTATCATCTGCGGTGCCAAGGGTCAAGCGGCATACTTAAAATCAGAAGATCCCATTTATGTGCTCGAAAATAACATCCCTATCGATACAGAGCATTACTTGAAACATCAATTATCTCAACCCCTCCTTCGTATCTTTGAGCCTGTTTTGGGTGAAGGAAAAGCGGAGTCAGTTTTGTTAAAGGGAGATCACACTCGTGTCCGCAAAGTTGTTACCTCAAAAGTTGGTGGCTTGATGGCTTTTGCCAAAAAGCGAGAGACTTGCATTGGATGCAAATCGTTGCTCAAACACTCTGGTGCTGTTTGTGATCACTGCGAAGAACGGGAATCTGAGATCTACCAAAAGGAAATTCTAAAATTGTCATCTTTTGAAGAAAAATATTCCAGACTGTGGACTCAATGTCAGCGTTGTCAAGGTTCACTTCATGAAGAGGTTTTGTGCACAAGCAGGGATTGCCCAATATTTTACATGAGAAAAAAAATTCAAATGAATTTGGAATCTCAACGAAAAGTGGTAATGCGATTTGGTGATTGGTAAATTCTGTTTTATCATGATATATTCCAAGATTTATGTTACACAATTTTTGCGTAAATCATGATTCATGATATCATTGTTGACGTGTTAAATGTAACAGGAAAACTGACTTTTTGAATATTAAAGTGTAACATTGATTTTCTTTAATACAATTCCTTTGGTCGCTGGGTCAGTTTTGCCAGATTTCTTGTAATATAGAAAATTTGATGTAATGTGGGAATAATGACATTAATAGTTTTTTTTTCTGTTTTTTGGGGGGTTTGCTTACGTCTTCATAGACAGTTGACATAAGCAGGTTTAATTAATATCTGCTATAATGAGTGTATTGTTGAAAAATAAAAAAATTGTGATATCATTTCCATTTATCATGTTAAGGAGTAAAATTTAGACAGATAAATACGCCTTGGAGGGGGTTTGGGTGAAAGGTTAAAAGCTGCTCTAGGGCTATTTTGAACCTTTTGTTAATAGTAAGTTTTATCTGAACATCTGTGAATTAGAGATATATCGGCCAGATTTTCGGTATCGGCTAAATTTAGACCGATATTTACGATATATTTAGCTTCTCAGTATGATCCAGATTTCATTTAAAATAGGCTAGAATACTGATCTTGAAATTATTTTTGTTTGGATGAATGGTGAACTAAGAACCGTGCACGTCCCCACCCCCGCTAGTAGAAACGGGAATCGGATTTTGACCTGTTTTTAGCCACTTATCAGCCAAACTGGCTCAAATCAATTTGAGTAATTTCGCTGCCAAATTTTTAATATTACATGGTAATTATGAAGAAATATATCAATCGAATATTAGTGGATGTTCCGATGTGTAAAATATAAAATACGGCGTTATATTGGCACAAAATCCTGCGCACGTAACACAACGTATGAGTTTCATACGATAAGTAGGCTAAACATATATTTATTTTACCATCAACGGTAGTCAAATCCTATTAGTTTTTTAATTGAACATCGAGATTACCAGCGACAGTGCTCAATGCATCTGAAACGCATTTCGATCTCAAACATCTACTTCTTAACACATATATATATACATATATGTGTGTGATATTTCTCTTTTTTGATCCGAAATAATGCTCAAAGACTCTTATTTTAAACCGTCTGTCCTGCACACTTGAGGTAAAAATTACATAGTATCGGTTGTTTTCGAATCGGCATCGGCGACAAAAGTGGTATCGGTACATCTCTACTGTGAATAGTCTCTGTTGTCCCAGACAAAGAACAACTCTGACATGATGACATTTTTGTATTCTGGTGTTCTTGTTTGTGGTCAGATCCATATTTAAATACGTTTTTCCTGGTACAAGCAATTCGTGTACTGGACTTCAAAGTGGCAATACATGATCTCTGTTGCACCAGGACAAATGAGGCTTGAAATAGAACCGAAATACGGTACTCTAGCTCAGGACTACTCAACTTGCGGTCCGAATCTTGGACCTTTCGAGTGCTAAATTTGGACCGCAGCTACTTCTTGACTTTGAACGCATTGTTTCTTTTTATTTCACAATCGTTATGTAATGCATTTTTCGCTAAACGACTATGAAAAACCGTCATTGTAATAAAAGTTTCTCAGAGCATCGACTCACTTTTGTGATTGATCAAGAAGATATTAATTCCGGCGCAAAAACTGCCATCAAGTTTTAGTTACTTCTTGTATACATTTTTCGCAAATTCTTAGACATGGCAGTGAACGTTAGCTTGTTTTTGTAGCTTATAAATATTCCATGTATATATTTCACACGCTCGGCTTCACAACTGAAGCCTTACGGACACCGAAGCGTGATATTAAGCCTTGCTATTGTGTTTTGTCAAACTATGCATTTGTAATTTTGTTCCATAGCTAAAAAAATATTCTTGGAACGACCGGACCCCGGTAATTTTTAAATTTTGTATACAGACCTTTGATGAAAATAGTTGAGTAGCCATGCTCTAGCTATTTAGAAAATGTTAGAATGTTCGCATTTATATTAGGTGTGAAATTTCGACCCCGGAAAGATCCACACTGCGTTCAGTTGCCCAAAAGTATTGTTAGGCTCCGAGCTCCATCGGCCACAGCGATAATATTCCTCAGTTAAATGGAGTGGAATTTGGTTGTTCCATTATTATGTATCGACGAAACTGGTGGTAAAACTAAAATGCGTAACCTTAGAATGAAACATTGTTTTCAAGCTGCCAGATCGCCAAGAATATTGGTATTTTTGTGACATAGTAACCGCTTTGCTTATATAAAATGTCAGATTTTATCTTACTTACTTATCAATAATTACTTATCAATGTGTAAAATGTTGACAAAAGCTAACCCGAACGTACGGTGTGGCGCATCGTTCTAAGCGTTAGGAATACGCTCGCCACCGCATCTCTGATTATTTGCGTGGGTTCGCAGGTTCGAATCCCATGCGGGGATGATTATGTGTGAGAGGATTGCTGGACTCCTCGCCGCCGTAGGGTAGCTCACATAACCGCTGGTCGGTAATGACTTCCTCCACCATCAAGTCCATGCTTCCGAAAACGAATAACTGGCTAACTAATCCTATACCCGACCTGGACTGGTAACCGGCCGTGGTTCGCTATATGATTAAGCCATATTATCGGATTTCCTCTCCCCCGGGATAAATATGTAAATCCTATCCTAAGTGTGCAATGTTTAGCGATGGGGGACAGTTTGGTGAAGTCGATGCCTAAAGTGCGACATTTATTAAAACGATATAATTATGTTTTCTTTATGTATTGATTGCATATGTGCGTGTCGGATCGGTACCGCTGGTCAAATTATGCAAATATGATGACCAAAGCCAGAAGACCAGCCAGAGAAGTCGTGTTTTTCGATACGTGATCATCAACGATAGGGTTGGTAACGTGCCATACATATACTGCCAAGAATATCCATATAGCGCCAACTGAATATCCATATAGCGCCAACTGAATATCCATATAGCGCCAACTAAATATCCATATACAGCCAACTAATATCCAAATACAGCCATTTTGGTGATATCCATATACAGCCGACTAATATCCAAATAAAGCCAAATCAATAAATAAATAAAGTCATCAAGATAGGATATGATTTACATATTTATGTCGGGAGAGAGGAAAGCCGATTGTTGTTTTCGGAAGCATCTACTTCATGGTGGGGGGGAAGCCATAACCGACAAGTGGCTACTTGAACCACCCTATGACAGCAACGAGTTCAGCAATCCTTTCGCACATAACCATCCCCGCATGGGATTCGAAACTACGAACCCACGCAGAGTAATCTGAGGTGCGGTGGCGAGCGTATTCCTAACGCTTAATACGATGAGCCACACCGCCGAAACTACCAGCGTTAATATCAGCGTTGAAAATCTCTTTTCAGTGAACTATTCCTTGGCTAATGGCGATAAACTGTCAAACAACTAATCGAATTACCGCTTGGTGGAAAATAAAATACTGCCAACGTGCGTAGTACTTGATAAATATCCAAAGGTTCCAAAATATGATGTCATAATACCCCACATCTTGAATAGCGTGATAATTGTGCTCGCTGAAATACTTTTTTCGGTGAACTATTCTTTGGTTACTGGCAATAAACTGCATAGAAATTAATCAAATTAACGTTTGGCGGAAACTATCATTGCACACCTTGCAGTTTATTTAAGTTAAGACGAATCGTCATTGTATTTAGTATGATGAGACTACTACCACTAATACCATGTGCTAAAGTTCTATTCAGCTATATATGTTTAAAACACTTTCCTCTAATAATATTTTTTCTATGCGACAAAATTTCTATTGAACAACCTCGAACTTGCGAGATTTTGTGTCTAGTAGAGGGTTAATAATTATTCCCAATTAATTAATTTTTATTTCAACGTTTTTTTTGTGTTATTTTCCAACAGAAGACCAAAACCACTATTATAGCAAGAATGGTTTCTAGTAGATGGTTAATAATTATTCCTAATTATTTGACTTTTATTTCAACGTTTTCTTGTGTTATTTTCCAACAGAAGACCAAAACCACTATTATAGCAAGAATGGTTACTCCAAAATTCATGATTGTATTTACAGAATTTTCAAGTTCAAGGCTTCAATTGGCAATTTTGATGATGTCACACTTCTAATTATCACTTCAAAGGCCCCCTCAATGCAAAAAATGTTATTTTTTCGACGGAAATGCACGTAGAAAGACGTAAACATTCTAATGCGCGACGTTGCGTGTGAAAATTACCATTAATTTTACATTTTTTTCACATTTAAAAATCCCCCAAGCGACTTTTTAATACCGTATGCTAAAAGTTCTATTCAACTATATATGCTTAAAACACTTTCCTCTAATAAAATGTGTAAAGGACGATTTTCAAGTCGATGATATATATAGAATTGGCATTATCAGCGAATCTGGAGTCCTTTTTTTCGTGAAATATACGACTCTACTATAGAAAATTAACTGTAAAAGACCATTATTCCCTTTTAGAGTTGGGACTAGGCATGAGTTATACTGTGCATATGCCATCCGACATAGTATGGTTTTAACTTATTCAACTGATTTTTTTTTGTTTCCCTTTTTTCTCTCTTGTGTGTTAATTTATTTCAGGGCGTGTTACTTTAGCTCAATTTCGTTAACAAAATGGTAAGTTTATATTTTTTTAAAGGCTGTGACTGACTCGATGACTTAACGGTCGCATCGTCACAGCCTCGTCTCAAAGCCTTGAGAATAATTTTTAAATGTTGTATGTAAACTTTTTTGACATTGTTGACGAAATAAAATACTATACTACCGTTACGCGTACAGAAACTCGAAAATAACTTCCGATTGAAATATGAGAAATGACTTGTAAAAAGCGTAAAATATAAGGAATAAAATATCATAATATGAGCATCATTAAACACCAGACATAACACTGATGGTGAGTAGTATTTCAGAAATATCCAATAGGCCCCAACTCAGCTCTTCAGAAATATCCAATAGGCCCCAACTCAGTTTTTCAGAAATATCCAATAGGCCCCAACTCAGTTTTCAGAAATATCCAATAGGCCCCAACCCAGTTCTTCAGAAATATCCAATAGGCCCCAACTCAGTTTTTCAGAAATATCCAATAGGCGCCAACTCAGTTCTTCAGAAATATTCAATAGGCCCCAACTCAGTTTTTCAGAAATATCCAATAGGCGCCAACTCAGTTTTTCAGAAATATCCAACAAGCCCCAACTCAGTTCTTCAAAACCATGACTCAGAAATATCCAATAGGCGCCAATCTATGATGTCATAATACCCCACAACATCTGATCGTTGATAATAGGCCTACAAGAAATGTGATGACTGAAAATCTCATATACTGTGCATATGCCATCCGACATAGTATGGT